CAGCAATCAAGATCAAGATTTTAAAAAATAAAAATAAAGTATAGAAAAAAATTTTAATACCATAAATATACTATATACTACAGATTCTTTTAGGATTTTTTATATGCAAAATTATGTCACCTGCAAATAAAGAACATTTGACTTCTTCCTTACACAGATGTACTGTATATCTGTTTATATACTCTGGTCCTTTGGAGGGTCAGAAACCACTGGAATATCTAAGATTGTTAGTGGCCTCCTTGAATCAGTTTTTATTCTCTGTGGCATAACATTGCTCCTGTTGAGAATGCATGATTTCGGGGAAGGCCATATCCCCAGTCACGATGCAAGTCAGAAGTGTCTGCTGGGACCAACCCCTCCATTTGGCTCAGTTCATAGAAGGGGAGGAGGGGGGAGGCAGGCTGCAGGGAGGTGGGAGGGAACATGGGGGAAGTTCTCTGAGGACACGCTTCCCTGGAGTGGCCTTGGTCCTAGACCAGTCATGGTGAACCTTTTGAGCTCGGTGTGTCAGCATTTTGAAAAACCCTAACTTAACTCTGGTGCCGTGTCACATATAGAAATTTTTTGATATTTGCAACCATAGTAAAACAAAGACTTATATATTTTATATTATTTTATATATTTAAATGCCATTTAACAAAGAAAAATCAACCAAAAAAATGAGTTCACCTGTCACCTCTGACACACGTGTCATAGGTTTGCCATCACTGTCCTAGACTGAGGTGGGTGGCAGGTGGTGGAACATGAGGCTGGGGGAGGGAGGGAGGAGGACAGCACCATCATTTACTTTTGTGTCTGAATTCAGGTGTGAGCTCCAGACTCTTTGGACTTGAGTCAAGAGATGCCTGTGGTGACTCTATTGAGAGAAGGGCTTAGAATTTTAACTGACTCCCTGCCTAAAAACAAACAAACAAACAAACAAACAAACAAAAAAAACACAGAAAATTTGGAAGTCTCTACCCTCCCTTACAAAATGCATTTGCTAACAAGTGAGGGGGAAAATTCCTTTATTCTTGGCTCAAGGAACTTCCTTAAACTCAGCCCAGAGGAATTCTTTGAAGACTGAACTATGCTAAAGTCAGTTTATAAATATAAATATCCCAAACTTGATAGCCAAGCAGATTGCAAAAGCTAACCACAGATATTTTCCTCAAAGCTAGCCAGCTAAACAAGTGTGATAGGAGTTATTGTGAAATTCAGTGTCACTTGTCTGATTGTCTAAAACTGTGTTTGTTGCCCAGACTGAGTGCAGAGTGTCTGCGGGCAGAATTTACCGAAGGGCTGACTCTCTCCTGGAGGTGTACAGCCATAAAGCCTTGGCTGACACCAGTGTGGACCACGACCCTACAGTATGCCTGACCAACCAAGGAGGAAGTGTCCAAGGTGGTGCCCTTTTTCACGCCTGCTTGGGAGCGGGGAAGGGTGCCATGTGGTAGCTCCAATGCCAGCTCTGCTGTGTGACCTTGGATAAACTGTTTAGCCTCTGTGGTCTTATATGCAAACTGGGGATGATAATACATACTTTGAAAATTGTGAGGATCTAAGACCTGGAAACAGCCTATGTGCCCATCAGAAGACGAGTAGATAAAAAAGCTGTGGTACATTTACACCATGGAATACTATGCAGCAGTAAAAAAGAAATCTCTCTTACCCTTTGAGACAGCATGAAGGAACCTGAAGAGTATTGTGCTAAGTGAAATAAGTCAGTCAGAGAAAGACAAGTATCACATGATCGCACTCATATGTAGAATTTCATCAACAAAATAAACTGATGAACAAAATAGGTCCAGAGACATAGAAGCATAGAGCAGACTGTGAAACCTCAGAGGGAAGGTGGGGGAGGGTAGGTGGGTGGGAAGAGATCAAAGAACTTGAATGCATATATGCATAATCCATGGACACAGACAATAAGGTGATGAAGGTCTGAGGCAGGCAGTGGGGGTGGGCTAGAAGGGGGTCAATGGGGGAAAAGGGAACATATGTAATACTTTCAACAATAAAAATTTAATTTAAAAAAGAAAATTGTGAGGATTAAATGAGAAAACATACATAAAGCACTAAACTTTGTGAATTGGCAATGCTCAGTGAAACATAGCTTTACATCCAACACCTTAGAGGAGAAGGCATTGTGCTGACCCTCCCCCATCTCCTTCCCTCCCACCCCCTCTCTTTCA